GTTTATTTAAACGAATCTAGGGATTTGGCAGGAAGACGAGTGGGGGGAAAGGGGGGAAAGAGGAGCAAGTAATGGGGGAAAATGAGAGGATAGGTGTGGGCAAGCCTGGGGAACTAGTCAATATGAATTCATTTAGTCTAATTGTTTATTTGTAAAGGTGGATACACTGTCAAATGTGTTCAATGATCCGTATACAACTCATCTATTCATCAATTAGAACTCTCGCCTCAGGCATCACTTGTCATTATATTTAACCTTAAATGTTGGAGAGCTTTACTTCTAGTACAGAGCAGTAGGGAAAGTAGGATGGTTTGAAAACTAAATAGGAAGAGTAGAGTAGATAGGAAAAAGTAGGATGGGTTGAGAACTAAAAAGTAAAAGTAGGATGGGTTAGTAACTATATAGGAAAAGTAGGGTGGATTAGAAACTAAAAATGAAAAGTAAGAGGGATTCGAAACTAAAAAGGAAAAGTGGGATGGGTCGGAAACTATATAGGAAAAGTAGGAGGGATTAGAAACTAAAAAAAAGTAGGATGGGTTGGAAACTATATAGGAAAAGTAGGGGGATTAGAAACTAAAAAGAAAAAGTTGGATGGGTTGGAAACTAAAAAGAAAAAGTAGGATGGGTTGAGAACTAATAAGTAAAAGTAGGATGGGTTGGAAACTATATAGGAAAAGTAGGGGGGATTAGAAACTAAAAAGGAAAAGTAGGATGGGTTGGAAACTAATAAGAAAAAGTTGGAATTTGTTGGAAACTAAAAAAGAAAAGTAGGATGGGTTATGAACTAATAAGTAAAAGTAGGATGGGTTAGAAACTATATAGAAAAAGTAGGATGGGTTGTAAACTAAAAAGGAAAAGTTGGATGGATTAGTAACTGAATAAGAAAAGCAGGATGGGTTGGCAACTAAAAAGGAAAAGTAGGATGGGTTGGCAACTAAATAAAAAAGTACGATTGGTTGGGATTGGGAACCAATAGGAAAAGTTGGAAAGATTTAGCTAAATGAAGGAAAAAAATAACTATTAGCCCTGGGAAACACATAACGTAAAAAAAACAGATATCGAGAGAAGTTAAGAACACACAATTGGAAACAGCTACATTTTTCTCAAATCCATCTCTTCCCCCACTACCCTCCCTCTTTCTCCCCCCCCCTGCCCTATCCTGTTTAGCACAAAGCTACCGTGGATATGATCCAACCCGTCTTCAGCTCAAACAAAAACAGGATTTCTTGAAACACGAAAATCCACAAGATCTTATATCTTTTTATATTCAGAAAAGTATGGAGACGGTCATTATAGGATTTAAAATACATTCGACCCATCGATGAAATTGGTTAGGGCGGGTAAAACACAATATTCTCTCAAAAATGTTGAAAATTGAAATTGTGCGTGACAAAAAACCTAGTCGTGGAATACAGTCTGTTGAATCAAATCATATTTCTTTCCGTTTCAAATATTCAAGTTTCAAACCGTCATCTTGGAATATGTAACCTTTCTCAGTAAATTCACCAACCCTTTCTCAGTATATTCACCAACTAAGGCAAGGAATGCATTAATAGGATGTTTAAGTAGGCCAGGAATGTATGGATAGGATGTAAAGTAGGCGAGGAATGTATGAATAGGATGTAAAGTCGTCAAGGAATGTATTGACAGGCTGTAAAGTAGGCAAGGAATGTATGGATAGGATGTAAAGTAGGCAAGGAATGTATTGACAGGTTGTAAAGTAGGCAAGGAATGAATGGATAGGATGTAAAGTAGGCATTGAATGTATGGATAGGATGTAAAGTAGGCAAGGAATGTATGGATAGGATGTAAAGTCGTCAAGGAATGTATTGACAGGCTGTAAAGTAGGCAAGGAATGTATGGATAGGATGTAAAGTAGGCAAGGAATGTATTGACAGGTTGTAAAGTAGGCAAGGAATGTATGGATAGGATGTAAAGTAGGCAAGGAATGAACGGATAGGATGTAAAGTAGGCATTGAATGTATGGATAGGATGTAAAGTAGGCAAGGAATGTATGGATAGGATGTAAAGTAGGCAAGGAATGTATGGATAGGATGTAAAGTAGGCAAGGAATGTATGGATAGGTTGTAAAGTAGGCAAGAAATGTATGGAAAGGATGTAAAGTAGGCAAGGAATGTATGGACAGGATGTAAAGTAGGCAAGGAATGTATGGACAGGATGTAAAGTAGGTAAGGAATGTTGGATAGGATGTAAAGTAGGCAAGGTTTGTATGGATAGGATGTAAAGTAGGCGAGGGATGAATAAATATTCAATCTATGAATCTGCGAAGTCATCTTTAACACAGTTGAATCTGAAGGTTTATCATCAAGATTAAATTGAGCTCCTTGTATACATATACATATAGATATACTGCAGAATACTACAGAATACTACATACACAAATACAAAACCCACAAAAGCGTCTCAAAAACATGTCTTACATTTTTTTTTGACAACAGGTTAATCTATTTGTCCCCTCTGCTATAGTTTATATTTTACTTTTTAATTTTTTGATTAATTTTATGACGAGTGTATAATGTATGTGTGTGTCATAAATTTTTTCTGTTTTTTATAATTGGTTAAACCACGCAGAGTTTTAGCAGTTTTATCTCTTTGGTAAACATGGTTCAGTGCATTCTGATAAAAAATATGAGAACGGGGGGGAGGGGGCCCCGATGGGAAGACGAGGAGGGGGGGAGATTGCCGGGAGGGGGTAAGTAGTGGGAGTAATCAGGGGTTTATGAAAAGTTATGAATATCTGAGAAATCATAAAAATTAAATTTTTCATTCTTTCTGCAGTCTTAGGTTTCCAAAAGTATTTGTGTGAAGGACGAATTTATTCTGTGAGAAACTGCAACAAATATCCGTGCAATTCTGAATAGGGATGTAAACTAGGTTGAAAGTGTACCCTGACAACCAGGCAGGGGGGGGGGGGGGGGGGGGGGTCCAACCCTTGACTTAGGTTGTAAAATCACAAGCTTTAAACCTAGATATAATTGTTTAATGAACAGTTTATGCACCAGTTAAACATTAAATCTATGGAACAACGCGCTCACCTCATTCCCACATTTATTCATACTTTTCATATTAGACTACAACTAGTCAGCACTTAAATTAGACTAGGACTAGTCATTCCTTGGCTTAGATTAGACTACAACTATAAGTCATTTTCAAAATTAGACTAGAACTAGTCATTTTGTAGATTTGATTAGAATTAGTCATTCTATAGATTAGACTAGAATTAGTCATTTTTAAGATTTAAGATTTTTAGTATAAGTCTAAGTTGTCATTTAAAAAAGACTAGGACTAGTCATTCTGTAATTAAGAAAAAGAACTATTTATTCCGAAGATTTTATTAGTACTGGACATTCTGTAGATTAGACTGTTTCTAGTCATTCTTTAAATAAGACTAAGAAAAGTTACTCTTTAGATGAGACTAGAACTAGTCATTTTGTTAATTAGACTAAAACTAGTTGATTATGTAGATATGACTCGGAATCTAATCATTCTAGAAAGTATACTAGAACTAGTCATTCTAGAAAGTAAACTAAAACTAGACATTCTAGAAAGTATACTAAAACTAGTCATTCTATGGATCAGAAGAGGATAATTCATTCTGTAGACTAGAATAGAACTAGTTATTCTGTAGACTAGAATAGAACTAGTCATTCTGTAGACTAGAATTGAACTAGTCATTCTGTAGATAAGAATAGAACTAGTCATTCTAAAGATAAGAATAGAACTAGTCATTCTGTAGATCTTACCTCTCTAGTTTAGACTATAGAACTAGTCATTATTATATTATTATTATTACTAGAATAAATTATTCTCTAAACTAAACTAGAAGTCCTTGTCTTTTTAGACTTAAAGTTAGATTATCATTGTTTAGTTTTAGTTTTGTATTTGTTAGCGGCCAAGTATTAATATACTATAGAGTTGGATGATTTAAATATTAATTTGTTTACAAATAAATGCTATTGTTAACTGGTAGATGATGGTAATACAAGACGAACTAGACTTCACATTATTTGTGTAACTTTAAACCTGGCAGATTAATATTAAAACACACAGTACTACACATTTTACAGTATACACACTTCACACATTATACATTTCACAGTATACACACTCCACACATTATACATTTTACAGTATACACACTTCACACATTATACATTTCACAGTATACACACTTAACACATTACACATTTTACAGTATACACAATACACACAGTACACATTTTACAGTTCTAAATTTTGCACACACATTATACATTTTACAGTATACACGCTACACACACTACACACATTTTACAGTATACACGCTACACACACTACACACTACACACAATTCACATTTCACAGTATACACGCTACACACATAACCTAAAATAATACACATAAAACACTACACAATAGACACACACCACACACTACACATATTAGACACACTACACACATTACAAATTTTACAGTATACACGCTACACATACTACTCACACTACACATACATAACACGTAAAATAGCATACAACAAATGACACACTAAACACCACACACTACACAGTAGAGACATTGCGCTACATATTATACAACAGATATACCCCACACTACACAACAAGGTACACACTACATTACATATATCACTCAACACACTTCACAACAAGCTACACATTACATTACATATATCACTCAACACACTACACAACAAGGTACACACTACATTACATATATCACTCAACACACTACACAACAAGATACACACTACATTACATATATCACTCAACACACTACACAACAAGATACACACTACATTACATATATCACTCAACACACTACACAACAAGCTACACACTACATTACATATATCACTCAACACACTACACAACAAGCTACACGCTACATTACATATATCACTCAACACACTACACACTGCAAACACTCGCACTAAACTACACACAACAGTAACACAAAAACACACAAATAATAATTATAAAAACCTTAAATCCATCCGTAATATCAGTGTTCTTGGTCTTAACACGCCAGGTTCAATTCGCTTACCTAAAAACGAGAGAAAAATAAGGTACGTATGGTATGAAGTTTGAGTGTAGTGGTGAATAAAAAAAATATGATCAAGAAAAAAATAAAAATAAAAAGGGGTGAAGAATTGATAATGAAAATTAGAACGGAAATAAACCCTCCTGGTAACGATTGGAAAGGTTTAAAATATATGTATAAATAATATACCGTCCAGGAACATAAAATACTATGAAAGCAAGTCTTGCTTTGGACTCCCACAGGCGCATATGAATTATATACGTTGTCCCCCTTCAAATCTCCCCCCTCCCCCTCCCTCTCTCCCATACCCAAGCTTCAAACGTATCCATAAGCTCTTCTCTGAACCTATGAGAATGCTTCCCCGGCCCTTCTCTTTATTTGCCCATATGGATCCAAAATATGAACCCGTTTTGAACCCCCCACCCCCTTCCTTCTATATCCCAGCTTGACTAGCATTAGTATTGAATCAATAATGAGATGAAGAGCATCATCCCCCCCTCCCCCATCACTCTCCGTACTCGTTCATGGACTCATCACCCCTTTAAAAATTAAAACCTTCCCTTTTTCCTTCCCCCTTAAAATCCCTTCAATTCCTCACGACTGAAATTTTAAAATTCTAAACCCCCAAATACCGTTATTTCCGAAATTAATCTTTCGATTTTTTATTCATAAATGCGTGGCATCTATATTTTCTACTTTTTCGGAACATTTTGCAATCAAGCCAACTACACAGAATTGTTCATAATATCAACAGCAATGAGACTAAAACCTTGAATTCTGATAATTTACCATGGTTCCTAAACTGTCTCCAACCAATGACATGCTTTAACCCCCGGGTATAGTACTGCCCCCTCCTATCCTGTACTGGTGACAATCTAAGCTCCTCCCCCTACGGTCCTCTGTCACCAAAGTGTCACCGTGACTCCAGCCAATGATAAACTGTCCTGGTGTCACCGGACCAATAGGAGGACGCGGAGCCGCGGCAGCTGAGGTCCTCTGCTCTCCGCTATCACAGTTTCCCATCATAGTAACAGAGCAAGTTAGACCGGTTATAGTTATCGGAAAGGATCTCTGTGGTCAGGGTTCTCTCTAACTCTCTATCTTCTCCCCTTGACTAATTTCTAGTATTCAATATTTGCTAATTTGCTCCTCCAGCTTCTGACCATTGATGTCTTCCGAAACTAACTAGTTTTTAATTAATGGAAATTTTTTTCAAGACAGGAGTCAAAATTTCTAATCGTTATAATCTTTTCAACCTGATGGTGACAACCTTTGATATTTCAAACTTAGTTTATTTTATAAAACAGAATTCATAGTTTGAATTACCTAAGATCACATGCCATTGGGTTGCAAAGATAAAGGGATTGGAAAATCAGAGTTTGTAACAAAGACTCATTTCCTTTGTTAATGGAAGGGTTTTATTTGATACTACCTGAAGTGCTCGGCGTTGCCCGTGATTTGAAAAAAAATTTTATTTAAAAAATAATTGGAAAAAATTGTTTTTTTGAGCCTATGTCAACCCCAGGCTACCCATGAGTGTCCGCTAAAAAAGTAAGCCCATTCGGTCTAGCCGTTTGGCCGGCCAGAGGGAACATATTTATATATATATACGAATGTTTTGTTTTATAATATAGAAGAAGATGTGTTGTTTGTATGAATATGTACGTGTACAACGATGTACAATGTACAACGGTGTACAATGTACAAAGATGTAAAATGTACAATATACATGCATGGTGGTGCATTGTAGTGTGTATTAAGTTCATGTAATCTGACCCCTCCACCTTCTCCTCCCTTCTCTCTCCCCCTTTGCAGTATGTCATATGATATACATATTATACATACCGTTCTTATATACATACATATATACCATACACAAATACCGATATATATATATGCATACTGTGCCGTGAGCAATCAAAGAAATGAATGCAAGTTGAAATCCTAAAGCTAAGAAAAAAATAAAGGAGCAAAACGTCAAGTTTGAGAGTTTTAGGACTTATGAAATAGAGCAAAGGAAAGTAAATTCATCAGTAACAATTTGCTTTCCATCTTTAAAAAATCAAAAAAAAAGTATTTTATACATTTTATGGCTTGAATTGTATAGACTTTGGATCATCTTTCCATATACTTTTGGGGAATCATTACATAAAAGTAAAAAAATGAAGAAGTGGCTTTATGTTCGTGTACAATGTGCATCTTACACGTAGATGTTGTAAACTCTGTGCTATGCTCCAATATAACTCTGTACACTCAACTAAGCTTTCTGTAACTCTGTACACTCAACTAAGCTTTCTGTGTGTACTGCAGTGATTTGCAGTACTTTGATCGAAGAAATAATGGGGGTTAGTGAAGAGTGGATCTGTACATCTCTATCTATGGATAAAACAGTGCTATTATCCCGAAATGTCCATGTATTATTAAGACAAAGGTTGAGTAATATCAACGCCTGGAGTATCCGAACCTAACCATCTCCTACCGCACTGCGATTTAATGGTCTCACGCTCTCAGACAAAAATCGTTGAGAATTTTGCCAATAACTTCTAAAAAACCAAATCAAACAAGAAGTGCTTCATAGTGCTAAAATGTACATGTAAAGGGCTACAGAAAAGCATAAGTGAGTTAGAGCGGTAAAATCTAAGCTTAGGGCGTTGCGACACTTCAAAGTCAGTCCTGTCTAAAAAATTGATGAGACTGTTTATAAGGAGGCTGAATCTATGTGACCGGAGTCTGATAACAGAGTATTGTCTCTAGGTGTAAAGCTGATTAGAAAATATCCGGGGTTTCAACTCTCAATGATATCCTATCCCAAGGCATCCTAAATATTCTCAAATTATTGAGATATTTGAGTCTGCCCCCCTCCAGCAACCAAGAAACTGTTCACTAAATTATCGTTTGATCATTGATGAAACTCTAATTGATAAATGTATAATTTAGATGGATGAACCAACCGTAAACATGGAACTATGTGGCCGAGGGGTGATTATATATATATATATCATTGATTTATCTTATTNAACTGAACCTCTGGTTTAAATACGTATTAGTTAACATATTCTGACAGTTTTGACAGTTTGTCCAACAGCTGAAATATTTTTGTCAAAAATAAATTAAATAATTACAGGTTTTCAGCATAATAACCGGTATAATTATCTTTCAGGGGTAATTATGAACTAAAACTATGAACTAGGAATAAAAAGTGTTATTTAATATCCTAGATATTTGCCACAGTTTTCTAAATTATAATATTGCAAAATTCTGTTTTTAAATTTTATATATTGGAGGGTAATTTATTCATGAAAGGATAATTTATTATTGATAAAAAATCGGCGGAATTTATATTGTTTTATTTTCCACAAGTTGGGTCGAGAAACTTAAAGGGTTTCGGTTCGTTTGATTGTCTTTAAACAATATTAAAATTAGAATTAATTTTCAGAGGCAATTGTAGACAGGAAGCGGGCAGTAACAAGCCAACATTTAAATTAGTGTATCTACAATCATTTATTCATTCATTTGTTACACTGCCATCAGTAGTCTAGGGTTAAGAAACTTACGAAATTATGATTCCTTATATCGTAATTATTTGATTTATGTAAAAACGGGAATTTAATGGTAAAAGACTGGAACAAATTGGGAAAATGGTATTATTTTTTTCTCAAAATGAATAAAAATTCTAAGATTTAAATTCTATTTTTTGTCTACATAAATAAACTTTTAAATCACAAACATATTCTATACCACCCCTTCCCCCTTCCCCCCCATCCACCCCTCAGAATTGTACCTGTGAAATGAAAAGTTTATAAATATATCAATCTAAAAACTAAAAACACGTCTAATTATAGTTTGAGATTCTTTAATTATATAATTATCTAATTACAAGGTGGTTCAGAATACAGGGATCTAATTAAACCGGTTTTAGAGATCATAGATCGATTTACGACAACCATGATTTGAAAATAAATTTGTCATATTGTATTTGTGAGAATGTTTGTGCGTAATGTGTGTGTATGTTAAACCTGTAAGATCTTGCATATAGAATACATATTCTTCCTCCCAGCCCTCAACAGCCCTCGCTAATGAAGAAAAATAGACATGAAAATGAATTCATTAACATATTGATACCCAGTCTCATACAGTGCTTCAGCCAGGCCTACTGCCTTGCCTGGTGCATACCTAACCAAGCCTAAACAAACATTAAATACCTANATTAGTTTATTTTCAATATGGTTAAGAAATTATGTTTAAAAAAAAATCAGGAAAAAGATGAATTTCTAGCTTTGAAATTTGAAAGCGAAAAAAGAAAAGTTTACCTTTCGAAATATTAAAGTTAGAAAAGAATGTTTAGAAGAAAAATTAGAAATAGTTTAACATGCTTTAAACCTTTGATCTATTGAACTATGCGTACCCTGGGGAAATGAGTTCTATTGACATGTACGCAATATATACGCAATGCACGCAAAATACGCAATCTTTCTTGACAAGGTTTCTGTTCAGCATTACTTACTACATCCTTAATATGTTGTTTTGTAATTTAATTTTGTAAGTTCATTGAATCTGAAAGTAGAAGTGCAGGATGGTTTAGTGAAGTTTAAAAATGAATGATGGGTTAAGGCTGAGGATAATAGTTTAGGACGGAGATATAAACATTTTCTTGGATAAATGTCTATCCCTGGATACGGTGTTGAGGGGGAGAACCTGATGAAAATACATCACCCGGAGTTCTCAACCTTGATGAGAAAACTTGGATTGTAAAACTTTCTGTCATTAAATACTGAGACATTCTGGACTATCCATATATCAGTCCATCTATCCATCCATCCTATTCTATTCATCCTATTCTATTCATCCTTCCATCCATTCTTCCATTCATCCATCCACCTATCCTATTCTATTCATCAATTCATCCATCAATCCTTTTATTTATATTCTATTAATTAAAATCTTTAGTGTTTAAGTATTTAATATATTAAAAATATTCCTACCACATGTATTGTTATAACGAA